GATTTACTGTTTCAGCTGGAACAAGTCTGGACAGTTGGCAAGAGAAAAGTAAGAGTAAGCGGAATTAGGAGAAGCATTTTTTCACTGGTTTTTGACATTCTGCAGATTAAATGGTTATTCATTAGTATAGGGAAAAAAAATCAAGTTTTCATTACATTGCATCTTTAGAACAGCCTGGGTTGACCAAAGTGCTGCATGTTAACAGTCAGGCAGCAATGAATATACGTGCAAAAAGCAATCGAGTTGTAAAAAGAGTATAAAATGGTACAAAATATTAAAACAATGCAAAACAAGATGAAAGTTTAGGATACAATGAATAGAAAATACTAAAAAATAGGACCAGCAGCAACTGCCAAAAGCCACTGGACACATGTATGTCTTGAGATTTTTTGTAAAAACGTCGATAGAGGATGAATTTTGATGGAAACTGTCATTAGTTAGGAACTCTAATGAGACATCACTATCAACTGAGGCCACACGCTTGCATGTGTACATTGATGCACAGACAGATTCCTTGTTCCTGTCATCTACTGCAACAGCAAGAAACCCTCAATTTCAATGGTCTCGCCACACTTTTGCACTCGGAAAGCCAGCGTCACAGGTCCAACCCACAGTGGAGAAACACAGGATGGGGGAAACTCGAGACAGCATCAGGCTTTAGAGGACTTCCATCTGCAGCTTCACCCAGGAGTTTAACAACTCATTTCCAGCAGTCATTATTCTAGATCCTAATCATTAGCCAGCTTAAGGTTTGGTCTGCAGCTACACTGAGCAGTTTTGGATCAGTGTGTGTTGTCGAGACTTAAGATGACACTGCAGCAAGTTGAAACTTGGCATTTTGGAATAACAGTGGATCCAGTCCAAAAGCAGTTTACCCATTGCCTTGCAGACAGCACCTACAGTCCTGTAAAGATGTCTTTTTTTTTTTTTTTTAATTTGTCCAGTGTCTGTAATGTATCCCATTTGGCATCACTATGCTAAAAGGATATCTGCTACCTCGACAAAGACCATAAATAATGATGACGGCAGTTACATCAGAACTGGGCCTCAGAACAAACAGAAGAGGAACTGCACCGTCTCCGAGCTCCAGCTAGTCAATCACTCTGTGTCCGACAGGAGAGTCCAGTCATTTCCTTTGATTAGTCGAGTCAGTCATACGGTAATATCTTCTCCAGAGCCACAGATAAATGGGCTTTTATAACATACGTAGGAACGTAAAATTGGAATTTCCCAAAGGGGACGACTATGGCGCACTTTGAAAAAATAAGCTTCGGTCTGGGCTAAAGGACGACGTATGACTTTGGAAGTTGAAGTATTAGGGTTTGATTAGGTTTGATAGCATATATTTAACACAAACACATTCCTATGACCAACTACTGCAGAGTATGACCTTCTACCTCCTCGGTCAAACGTCTTCCACAGTTAAAACAGTAGGGAAATCATTTTTTGAAAGCATGGTCAGCCAAAATTCTATTATAAAATTCCAAATTAATGCTGTTGTCTTCATTTCTTTTTTGATTCTTATTAAAGAAATTCAACTAAAGGTCGACACACCTGAAGTTCTGCTATGAACCGCTTGGTGCAACAGCATTTTGGTGTGATTTTGGATACCACTTCCCCCGGATGTGAGCGCACACACACAAGATTTTGCAATGCTGTAATTAAATTTCACGATCATAATCAAGGCAAAGATGGCAGACTTGGTGATTGTAGCTGCCATGGCAACCAAGAGACCCCCGAGGGCAAAGTTAAAGAAATGTGGAGCAATCAGCAAAGGGGATTCCTTATCAATGGGAATCTTATTTTTTAAACTCTAATAGCAAGGCTAATTATAACTGTCTGGCCTTCCTGTGAATAGATGATGCAAACAAAGAGCGACTTTCCAGGAAAACCAAAGCTGCTCCTTCCCTCACACAGCGCTGCAGCTCAACTATATTCCACACAGGCTGCATAATGAATTAAAATGGCATTAAATTAGCTCTGTATTGAGAATTTAGTTTATGCTACGTCGAAGATGGTGGTCTGAGAGGTAAATAAAAACACCAACACAGACCTCAGGCATCAGCAGCACGCAGTTAGTGAAAGATGGGGGTTAATTTTTTCCCTTGGTTCTTTTTGGGGCCGGGGGGGGGGAAACCATTTTTTTTTTTTTCTTGTTTATGTTTGTTTTCCGTGTTGGCTGTCATCTGCTACCCATTCGACGCTGCAAAGAGTAGATGTTTGCGTTTTATTGCTATACCTGGGAGGATATGTTTTCAATTTTGTGCGTCTTCATTTTAAAAGGTGCTAATTTAGCTTTGGGAGGACTCAGAGATTCGGGGAAGGGTCACCAAGTCCAAGATAATTGAGTGAGGTAATGTTATGATTATGTTGTGTGTATGCTTGAGTCTCTGAGTCACTTTCCGATATTTGTACCCAAAGTCTGATTTCCCATGCTTTAAAAAACAAAACCCAGGGAAAAAAAATAACAGTTCTGGGATACAATTAGACAGACTTTTGTTTGAGCTGCAACATTTGGATTGGAAGATGCTCTCTGTTTTTCTCCTCCCTCTACTATCTTTCTCTTGTTGGCAGCACTGTGATCTGAGATGATGAGCTGAAACAGATAAAGGCTTTCACTCACTCTGCAGTATTCCACACGCAGCGCCTTTGTATTCTTAATTAACAGTTCAGACGTCGGACTTCGTGAGAAAGGAGAATATCTTGCACATAATGACTGTAAAAGACATATTTTTCTTCTTATGTGGGTTCGGTGGGAGCCACAAACAGGACAACGGTGTATACAGTACTAGCAGAATTTTTCAGTGTCTATGTGGGTGGCAAATGCGCAATTTGATTACACTGTGTATCTTTTAAGTAAACTCTCAAGATTGCTTGAGATTTGGAAAAGAATAAAGCCTCAGCTTGGACATTCCCTAAAGTAAGACCATTAGAATAAACAAAAAAAATATCACTGTGGATGCCGGTATTACATTTCAGCTTGAAACCAGGCAAAATTGACGACAGCTTAAAAACAGAAAAGCAACAATATCTGCGTGTATGTGCACATGGTTTAAGGTTTAAGGTTTCAAGATTCGAGTCGGTTTGCTGCCAACATGCACCCCAAATAATGTGATATACAACAAAGGGAGTGGGGGTTGGAGGTTCGTGGGTACCATGCAGTCACCTCCCCCAAACTGTAATATTAAGTCATTGAGCAGATGCTGTTTTCTAAGAAGTGTGTGTGTTTCGGAGCACAGCCCTGGTGAGAATCCTTGACCCTGCCAGAGTCCATATCTTTCTCACCCATTCAGTTGCACGGAACCACATAAAGTGCAAGGTAAACAGCGCACTGTTTACTCTGTTGATAAGCTCTGCAAAAAGACTTGACACAGAGCCCAATGAATAGACATCTCTGCCTTGACAAGCTTGTTACAGACAGCATTAAAAACACAGGGGGGCTATCTCAGCCTTCCGGACAAGGACTAAACGAAGATGAATAAAACTATCCTTTACAAGGATGTCAGGGGTCAAGGTGGTCACCTCAGCTGCCACACTCCAAAAATCACCCACCCGAGATCACAATGACATGTAGTCCAGGCTCGAAAATACTCAAAAATCCACTTTTCATGATTTCATTTTTCTACAAAACTGTGTCACAAGTGTCCAAATTTAGCCAAGCCCTGATTAAACTCCTGAGAAGTTTATTTTTCAAGAAAGGGATTGTGAAATGTGAAAAAAATCCCGTATTTGGTAGAATCTCACCCCTGTTAAAAAGAGGATCTGTACCTCTAAGCAGCTGATGTGAATAATTATAAGTTGTTTGTATAACTTAGGCTCCACTCGGTTGTAGCCACACCAACTAGATATCCATATGGTTCCTGTTAGAAAATGTCTTGCTGCACGCCTCATCGCTCCGCAAGAAACCAAACTCTTACTGGTTTTGTGCAGACCAGAGGCTGAGGCTGAGGCCGGTACACTGCAGGGCTGGAGCGCACGGGGCCATGTAAGAGGATAGTGTAATAATGCAAAGATCAGTATCCCTCCATACAGCAGAAAACCAGGAGCTGTGGATGCCACTAGACACCAGATATGACTAGAATAACTATTGTGGTTAGGTGCTTAAATATGCCCCTGGGTTTACCATTTTTAGTTGTTCGCCATGTAAACATACACAGACAGAACTGGCTGCTATAAATACAGTTTATGTTCGACAAAAAAAAAGTACAATGGTGTCAAAATCTATTTGTTGGATAACAAAACTACCCCAAATCATCTTGGACTCCTTAGTTTTGTATGTCTAAGGTGTTAAACAGCTTACGTTGATGTTCCCTTTGCGACCTGCTTTCATAATCACACCAACATCAGCAGACCAGACCCTGCCAGGACTCCAAGAGCCTTGCTCAAAGGAACTACATCATATTCCCCCCCACCGGTGATGCCTTGCAGTCAGTCAGCCCTGCGTTGTCACTTCAGCTGGTCTCGCCAGGAAATACTTGAACAAACGCTGGCCCACTTTGAGCACTTCATGGTGTTTCCCATTAAGCGGTTCTGTCCTCGCTCCAAGACAAAAAGTGTAGTCTCTCTAAGTTGCCAACCCTGTGGAAGAAACCACTGACTTACTGTTATTAAATAGTTCCATAAGCCATAATAAAATTATGTGGTAGCCTACTAGAATGACCTCTTTTTGATGTTTCGCCTTTATTTTAAATGAAGGAATCATTCTTTTTCTTATCTGTTTCCAACCTGGCTGTCTGTCTGTTTGGCTGGCTCTGCTGTGGATGGGGATCAATAATCAAACACAAGGCTAATGCTGCATCACTGTGATCCACTGGTCTACTTTTGTAGCCCCCTCTTGTATGGTCTCATACACATCACAGCAGCCTGACCAGCTACCAGCTCATGCATGCAAGGTGCAGATGCAGGGTGCAACCCCCAGAAGCCTCCACCCAATCATTTCTCCTACCTTCCATCCTTTTTCTAATCAAACGTACGAGAAGCTGAGAATAAATGTCACTTACATTCATCGGATCCCACTGTGCTGCTCTGGATGGTGCGCTCTGGATATCCCCTCCAAAACGTGATTAGTATGCAAACGGGTTTCCAATCCCCCCCAAACGACAGACAATCCGCCAGGACAAAAATCTTGAATGGAGCCGTGCTGGCCAGCTGGACTGAGCTCTCTCTTTTGCTTTTCCTTTTTTTTTCTAATGGCTTCTACATAATATCCACAAAAATGACAGTTAAAGCCAATCCCACAGATTTTCCAATCCGGTTGACCGGTTTTTACTCCACCGGTGAAGGGTCCTCTGGCGTCCCTGTGGCAGTCAGGTGAGCGCGTTTGGATCAGCTGGGAAGCGGCGCGGCTTCTTTCGCTGTCTGCAGCAGAAAGAAGGGAGGAAAAAAAAAAAAGAAGAAGAAGGAGCCGCCTGTGGTGCTCTGTCCGGCTGATCTGAAACGTTTCTCTCCTCTTTTTTCCCCCTCTCTCTTCAGCATCCAGTCACTCACATACGGCGTGTGCGCTGAGACAGAGTCGCTCCAGGGCACCGTGCACCTCACCAACTGAAAGCCGACTCCTCCGCCACAAGGCCCAGCCCCCTACTCCTCTCCATACTCTCCTCCGCCTCTTCCTCCCCTCCCTCCGCCGACTTGGATTGCTAATTTATTCGGGTAGCTACACAAAAAAAGAGGGGGGGTGGATGAGAGAGCGAGAGGGAGTCTGTGGAATACAGTAGGGAGAAAGTGGAGAGAGAAATTGGAGAGCAGACTTTGGTGCCCCCCAGCTCCGTTTAGTGGAAGTAGTCTTTGAGACAAAGGACCATGCACCATCAAAGGAGACATTATGCAGGTCATTTAACACTTTAATAAATATTGCATTGCAGCCTGTGTCATAATTTTATGAGTGAAGAATCCTAAAAATTAGAATCACATACTTTAGATGTGTGGAATCCTTGACGATAAGTGTATTTTGCACATATTTGTAAGTGCTGGCATTCACATTTCAAGGTAAATTGGCACTAAAAATAAAGCATATGACCTCATGCTGCATGCAAATTTATGCAAATTGTGATATATGTAGTTGGTCATTTGCACGTTTCACAATATATCAAAAAGTTGCATTCGAGGTATTATGTTTGGATAAGGTTGTAGTTGTCCGGATATAAAAGCTTAAGACAATAACCTCAGAGAGGAAGCAGCATATCAGGCTGGGCTAAGGTTCACACACACACACACACACACACACACACACACATCCTTTGGTCTGCAAGCATCAGCAAGATGGGAGTCATTCATCACCTCCAGATTTTAGGTCAAGCCTCCACCTGCATCACTGAAGCAGAGCGAGGGAGTGGATGTGGAGGAGGGTGAGGCGCGGAGGTGGGACGTGTGAACACGGGGAGGGGGTCCGCGGTGGGTGTCGGGAGGCGGCGGACAAGGACAGCAATCAATCCATCCCCTCTTCCTCTGGGAGTATACGTTTCAGATGAGTGTGTACACTGCTGTCGGTGAGGGGGAAACGGAACATTTACACTTTTACCACAGAGTGTTTACATTCATCCACATTGAGTCTGACATGATGGCCGGACACCACGGACTAAGGCTCATTTAGCTCTACAGGAGACCCGTTTCACATCAAAAAAAATTGTTTGCTTAGCGGCTGATGCAGTCAGTGGTGATCTATGAAACACAAACAAACATAATGTTGCCGTTTCCTCATATTGTGACAGTGGTCACTTGGGGATTGAACCATCAGTCATGGCAGCATTAGTGGAGCGTTGTAGCATTAAAGTACAAAATTATATCCCAGAGGAGCTACAAGGAGGAAGTGTAATTGTAAAGGCACTAGAGGGAAGAAACTTAGTACATTTAGTCAAGTTTGAACTTAAATATTTTACATTTTCTGCTCATTTGTAACTCTACTTCACAATTCAGAGATAATTATTGCCCTTTGACCTTTAACAGCCACAACAATAAAGTGATGTATCATTAATTATGTTGCATGCAATGCACAATTCTGCTCATTGAGTACTTTTGGCACTTTAAGTATATTATCATCTTTTTTTTTTTTTTTTAATTAATGCAACAAATTTTACTTGAAGTATTTGCCATGTTGCTACTTTTACTTCTACTACTTTTTAAAAACCACAGTGTTTCTCACATTTAAAAGGTAAATACATTAGCTGATTATCAATTACCCTTTCTGGAATTCAGTATATTTCTCTGCATAGCCTAAAAAATACTTCACTGCTTCAGTGGTTGAAATCTCTTTCATCACTGAGTACAAAACCTGCTCCTTTTGGTCATAAACTGAGCAACTGTGGAATCATTCACACTGACAATCAGAGTCGAGACTAGTAGTCTGAGTGAAGTTTGTTTTTGCACTATATTTTGGGAACTACACCTTATCCTTTTAGCTATTTAAAGACATAAAGACACTGTTACCAGTGGTTATCCTTGCATTTTTCTGGGATAAGTATGTTACTTCAGCATGCAGCATCTCATCAGCAGTCAACTGAATTCAATATGTTGCTGGTCTTGAGCTTAACTTTTGGATTCAGTGCCAGTTATTGCAATGTCAAATATTCCCCCTATTCTCACCCTTTGATTCTCACTTCCTGAGGCCGCAAACACACGTGCATTTCTGAAATGCCAGTGGATTATCTTGAAAAGATCCAATTTATAGCCAATGATCCACCAGTTGATGGTGGTTTGCCCCTCTTGGTGGTGAGTCATGAGGACAACGCCTTACATGCCTTTAGATGTAGCTCTTATGTTTTAAAAGCACTTCTTGGCAGGAAAGACCTTAAAGTTTAAAAGGAACAAAGTCCTGATTAGTTCGGACAAAGTAAATGCTTTTCAATTGGAATTTTTTTCAAAGATTTTGACAGTATCTGTGTTTTCATGCCCTCAGCATCTCTGCAAGATTCCACGTCTCAATTTCCAATTTTCAAACTCCAAATCCTTGCCGAGTGGGTTTTTTGTGCACGTGCGGTTGTGTAAATGTATCACATGTGTTTGCGAGTGAATTTACTCAGCATCGATCTTGTTGTGTGAACACTTGCCACAGAGTTGCAATTACATGGCTTTAACCGAGAGCAGATGCCTGAGGAGTGACACGTTTGGTGGGGCTCCCCACGATGGAAGAGACCAGCGTGAGATTTATATCAGTGCCACACACATTCATAAATGTAAAAATCTCTCATTGCCTCACTGTCAAATGCAGATATACACAGACACTAACGCGTGCACACACAGACATATATCATGACCATGAAAGGATTTATTTGGGTGCTGTGTCTATCCTGTTTGTCAGTCCCTCCCTCTAACCTCAAAGTCGACATTCTGACCATGATAACCCTGGTCCACATTTCAAACCAGTTAGATTTATACGATGTCAACTCTTAGATAAGGCGTGTATTTATTCTAACTCCTTGCCTTCGTAACAAAACTGATAAATCAGCAGACAGTGTAAATTACCAGAACCCCTTTAAAAATGAATGAATCCGACGTCCAGAGCTTCACGTTATTCTAAAACAATTTCGCTAACCTGGGATTTGACCCATCTTATGACCATTATCAACACAATATAGAAATAAGTGTGCCATGACAGCTAGTAGCTGTGAGGTCATTTGGAAATGCATCGTTAGGAGCTAATGAAGGGTCCTGTCTATATTGGCTGTACAATTGGACTTGTTGGCCGGGTCTCTCTCCCCTATACAAACACTCACACACAGTTGACTGCTGCACTGTGATGCCTCTGATGTGAATCAAAGCAGTAAATTCGCCAAATTGGCATGTTTGCGTGTTCAGCGGACTGCAACTAATTTTTAAATTTCATCACTTTAAAGAAAACAGCCAATACTGTAGCAAAATCTTCTGGAAAATGTACCTGAAACAACGCCTTGACTGGAAAGCAGCACAATATCTTATTTCCATATATCCTGGAAGCTACTTGGCTAAAAGGGTTCAACCTCATAGCAAGCAATGTCCCACTGGTGGCTAAAAAACTGTACATCCAAACTTTGTGCAGTTTCTCTTGGACTAAGTTTAACATGATTTAATGGAGAGTTTGAACAAGCTGATACTGTCAGTGAGCGAGGAATAAAATGACTTTAACAACCTTAAAGCTTCTTAAGGGGAAACAAAAGTCTGTTTTCACCTTATCTTATAATTTTTCATTCAGCTGTTATCATTTCATACCTTTCACTGGCACCCAATTTTATATCTACATTCATGCATGCGTTCACTTTCTTATTTTCGTCACTTGACTCTGTCGGACGCTCTTAAGCGTACAGTTTCACCCTGGGTCTATGCAGGTGTCGGCCTCAGCTATCTGATCCACCTTTCCTGTGCAGCAGGATGAGATGAGGTCACAGCTTCTCTCTGTGACTTAGTGCCAAAAGAGGAAAGAGCAGAGGTTTAGTCAGACTTTCCTTTCCCATGGCCAAAATATCACTGCATGCTCTCAGTCCAGATTCATTCAAGAAGTCTTCAGGGCAAAGAAAAGTTGTTGTTTTTTTTACATTGCCAAGATGTGTGATGAAAATGCAACCATTATCAAGTGTTTCTTTTCTTTTCTGGCTGAGATTTCTTCTTAGCAATGATAATTTCTCCAAGCAATTTAAAGATTGATTATTTGCTCATTACTTTTTAGTCCATACTGGTGCAAAGTCTGTTCAAAAAATGTCTGTTCTAAGCGGGTCGATTGCTCGGCCTCCTGTTTTGCTGCCTGCAGCTTTCTCAACATCATCGATCAACCGCTCATCCACACTACTTCACACTGACTGCCCAGATCAATCACAACATTGACATTAAAGTGTAAATTAACTCATGCCATGGTAGATATAACCAGCACTTTTGAGAAGGAGGGTTAACTGTAGTCTCCGTCAAAAATGCTACCACACTTTAGACGATTGTGATGGAAGTTTTATAACTGCAGCTTGTTCTCCGAGGGGATTCCATGCTTCCTTGTAATTCTTGTTTCTAAAGAACTGCTCATCCAAACAACTTCATACTTTACACTGCACTTCCTTGGTTTCCCAGCAATACACCCACCAAGGCTGAAGAACATCAGACAGACGGTGGTCGAGAAACATGAAGAACAGACCGACACAGAGACACATAGACGATGAAGATGTCATCAGTAGACATAACATTTCTTTTTATAGCTATGCTGATGACACATGATTTTATGTGACTGTGTTTTCCTGACAAAGGAGCACGTGATGTTTTTTTAAAGATATATTTAGCTCTCTGTGGCTTCCAGGATGAAACACATGCACTTCTCGTCTCATTTCAGAAATATTTACTACATTTTGGAGAATTAGTCTTTATTTTTTCCAAGTGAAACCATGCATTTATAATTGATCTTTAAAGCTTTGCACCAAAGAGTGGTAATGTATTGGGATATGAACTGACACATGGTGTGGTTTTGGCCTCTTTTTTTTTCTGGTATTTGTTGACCGCATGACCAATGCCAGTCAAAATATTTAGTTTGCTGTCAACTTCAGGAAAGCTGAGC